CTATTCTTGCATATTCAGAGGTTCAGAACTTCGAAACAAGTTTCTTTTACCAAAATGTGTACAGGCTAAAAGAAACACGTCCCAAAAACGTAAAGCGAAAAAAAAAAAAAAAAAAAGCTTTTTTTTAATGACGTGCTGAACTTGAACACTACTAGAAATCTTCTGCCATGAGTTAATTTATTCCTTAACGTGAAAAAACAATAAATATATTATTTTGTATTCTGCAGATGGCAATGATATGTACTGTCTGTGGTGTTAATTTAAATGCGATACCTCAAACTTAGACGAAAATAAATATCAGCGCCTGTCCTGTCGTCCGTGTTTCTTTATTGTCCTCGTTTGTTCGCGCTTTTTAACCTTTTATTCAATAAATATCAAGTTTAGGTCATAATTGCATGCAGATACATGTTTGGACATTTCTTCGAAACTCACGTTGAATAACAATAATCACATCTTAAGACGGCACTTACCTAGGCTATACATAGATCATTCTTAAAAAAAGTATAACATCTCTACCATAAATAGCTCCGGCTGCAGCGTGCTTCAAATCTGGCACAAGCGATAATCGTCAAAAACCCGTTCGTCCTTCCTCGCCCCTTCGGGGATTTATTTCTTTAAACCTAAGCATGCCAGAACATTGAAATAAACGACATTGTCTTTCGTAAGGAACGCAGCACCGCGTGTAAAAGTTCGAGAAAAAAAATTACGAATGTATTCCACAACTTGAAATCAAATAAAACCGTCCGCCGGTCTTTCGAAGTTCGACGAACGTCGAACTTTTACCCTAAAAGTTCGAAGTTCGACGAACTTCTGACTTTTCAGAATTCGAAAGTTCGAAACTTTTCGAATTCTCTTGATAAATAAGTTCAAAAGTTCGAAATTCATCGAATTTTTCGGTCAGTCAAGTTCGAAAGTTCGACAAGCATCGAACCTTGCAGCGCAATAAGTTCGAAAGTTTGAAAAAGATCGAATTTTTTAGCGTAATAAGTTCGACGGTTCGAAAAGCGTCGAACTTCTTAGCTTAACAAGTTCGAAAATTCGACCTCCGTCGAATTTTACGATATAGACAATTCGAAAAATCGAAATCTTTCGAACCTTTCGAACAGCTTGATTCGATCATCGAAACTTCGATTCGAAAAAAGTTCGCGGCATCCCTAATATTTATGCCTGCGAAGACGTTCAATGAAGTTCTTGGTTTCTCCCACATGAGGCTTTTCAGTCGGCGCAAGGAATACGATGAACAAGGCCTTTTTCTTTTTCTTTTGGATGACAATCTTTTGGAAAAGGAAGATGATGGCCAATGGTCGAGACGGGCTTGCGTGTCACTGCTATGCCGTATGGTCTGAGAGCACGGGTGAGAACTTGGCTCGTGCCTCTGAGGTACGGGACACACATGCGGCCGGAGGGATGGGATTTTTCGGCTGCAGGTGGGTGGCGAAGTTTCTTGTAAATGTTGTCGACGAATCTTCTTCGGTCTGCGTTTTTTCGAAGGTCCCGTTTCATAATGTCAACTTCCTCTTTAAGTGCCTCATCTGCGGAGCACACCGTGATGGCACGTCGAAATAGTGCCGAAACTACTGAAGATTTGTGAGATGTGGGGTGGTCTGATAGAAAATTGAGCTATCGTCCGGTGCGCATTGGTTTTCTATACACCTGAAATGTTAAAAGGTTGCCCGATTTTTTTTTCACAGAAACATCCAGAAATGGAATGCAACCGTTAGATTCACGTTCTACTGTAAATTGAATATTTAGTTCGATTGAATTAAGGTGTATGTGTAAACGGCCAACTTCGCCGGTTTTTACGACGCAGAAGCAATCGTCAACGTAGTGAAGAAACATAGTGGGTGTCGGAAGGAACGTATTAATGCCTTCTTTTCGATGGCTTCCGTTGTGAGGTTGGCTACTGTGACGGACACAGCAGCTCCCAAGGTGCTGCCACTACTTTGCTTGTAGAAACTACCAGCGAGAGAGAAGTAGGTGTTCGTCAGGCACAGTTCCAGTAGGCGGCAGATATAAAGCATATCCACTTGTTGTTGCGGTCGGTGTGTTGTTTTGTTTATCTCTCACACACTTGTTGACGTCTTTCATATCGCTGAACAGGATTTCTCTTTGCTCTCTATAGTCCACACTCTTCTCAAGTAAAAAAAAAAGGAAAGGACATCATATGTGTACAAATGGGAGTAAATTATTTATTATTTATTTACTGCCATATGTACAAATGGGAGTAAATAAATGAATTGAATTGAACTGTATAAAACTTTTAGCACCCCCCAAGAGATTTTGGCACCCAGTCCATCCCCAATGTCATGCAGAAGAGACATGTATTAAAAAAAAGAGAATTGCAATTCTATACCATCATTCAGTCACGACTCACGGCAATACTTGTAACCAAGCAGGAATTCCAATCTCTTTTCTTGTGAACGGTACATTGTAGGTGAACGTGGCTTCCTGGTTTGATTCGTCCAAGTGGCAACAAAGCGGCATTTTACAACCAACCGAGCGTGCAAATATTTTTCGCACGCTCACACCTGCTTTTTCTTCATCATTTGCCGATTTCGGCTGCGCCCCCCGCTTGCATACGGTGGTTCAGATGTGCACCAATTTAACTGGCAGCCATATTAGACATTATTTCTGCTTTGGACTGAGATCGTCTGAGACAAATTCGAAATCACGGTGCATTGTTCCTCTCGTTGCACGTATATGCAAAATGCCATCGTGAGGCAGCATCGCTCCACTTCTCAGTGACGCGAGTCGACTGCTGCATTCTTCGATCGGGACTGAACCAGACTGTGTCGCCCCTCTCATTTCATTTCTCATAACAGTATCTCACTACAGTCAAACCCACTTATAATGATCCCACAAATAATGACCTATCGGTTATAACAAACAGCTTTCAGAAAATATATGAGTTCAAGGCCCTACCCATTAAAATTGGTCCTGATAAAACGACCATTTTTCAAAACACATCATACTGTTACAACAAACACAAAGTTCCCTTAAAAAAAGAAAAGAGCTTGCGCACAAAAAGAAAAAAAAAAGAAGCTATATTTTGGGCACGGCGTTCCAGAGACGTTCAAGGTAATTTCCACGGCCGCGCGGCACGGAAGGAAACAAAACTACAAAAGTAAAAACGCACTCCCGGGTCGCATAGTCTGCCAATTGTGCGTGCGCGGGAAGAAGAAAAGGAGGAGGAAGTCATCTCTCACGCCGTGCTGCGTTCGTTCGTTCCACGTTTGCAAACTCTCTTATTTAACTCAAATGCGTAATCTTTGCTTCGACGTAGTATTCAGGCTGAGATTGTATTTCGTGCGACTAAAGCGATACCAGTCATTTATTTTGGTTTCCTTTCCTCACGAGCGGTCATAGCACAGTTGACCACGGTCAAACACTAATAAGTGAGCCAGCCCTACCCAGAACAGCCATTCAATGAACACGTCCTTTCCAGATGGGGCGTGGGATCAACATGGACACAGCCTTGATCCGTCGCAGGGTTAAGCTTAAGAGCGAAAGTTTCAGCTTGAATGATGTTGTGCAGGATAAGCACCTTCCAGGGTGCACGCCCTGGAAGTTCAAATCTTTGCAATCCTTTCACAAATTCAGTGTGCCCCTTAATGGATCAAATGAAGATCTAACGTTTTGCATGCTAATGGCAGTAAAAAGCTACTATGTTATTGGGCATTGTAACTTTCGTGCTTCGATGGGAATCTGATCTTTGCCATACAGTTATTTTTATTTTTGTTTCAGTTCCGATGGTGACAAGCAACTGCCATTCTCTACGAGCTGCTTACCTCAGTTGCTCTAGCTTACCCGAGTAAAAGTCTGGATAAAATTCACCACACGAAGTGGAGTATGGGTCGAGTGTGTGCCAAACGATTTATTTGACAACAAGTCCTACACAAACGCCGACGAAGCGCTTGTATCCGGTTCATGCGTCCCATTGTGCTAACCTCTGAAATCACCTGGCTATGTGTTATCTGCTTCGATGCATCCATTAAACTTCTTCCTTCACCAGCTACCAGAAGGCTGCCATTAGCCTACCACAGATGATTACTCAATGATGATAGTTATTGAAGTGGCCACACTGCATTTCGGATAGGTATACTGAGATACGATAATACTTGCAGCCTTTAATGTGCTTCAAGTTACCGTAAACTGTTGTATACAGGTGCTCCCTTCACCACAGTGCACGTGATGGCCAACTCTCGTGGCCAACGAAGACTTGAAACCAGGGATCTCAAACACGCGGCCCGCAGGCTACAAGCACCAGTTCCCATGTCTCGAGCACTAAAGTGGCTAGCGCCATAGCGATCTCACCTTGTCGATTGATTTTCGCTTGCTTTAACGTATTCATATAGTTTATACTTATCTGTGTTGATTTGCCGTTAGTTTTATTTTTTGCTTCCTAGCTTTTTGTAATGTACAATTCAGCTATTAGGCAGCAAGCGCGCGCTGTTCTTTGAAGGACGCATCTCAGCTGCATGAACTCTCAATCAGCAGGAGCAACTGCCGAAGATAAAGCACTACGAGCTCGGGATTCTTGCCTTAAAAAAATGTCCCTATGAAAACATAAGTATTTGTTCAGAGTGTTGCAATAAAAATTGTCAGGAAAGCAAGAACTGTCAAACAAACTTATTGTTTTTATATACATGTAGAGCTTGGTTAATTCCTGTGCGAATTGAGCAACGGAAATGACAGTGTACTTGCTCTCGTTCTATTAAAAATGTCTGCACGTTGGCGGGGCAGTGTAATTTTACTTCTTATCACTTCATGCCAGGGCTCAAAGTCATCATATAAACAAATCAAATCTAAAGATGTCACCCACAAAACTGTGCATTAATAAAAAGCATAGAGCATGAGGTCTCTTTAAAATCTTTTGAACACCCCCCCCTTCCATCTTACGTTTGCCCTCAACCTTTCCGGTGTGGGCTATCTGCCCCTTTCACTCAAATGAGTTTGAGACCACTGCTCTAAACTACAAGCGAAACAGCAGGGCTACGCACCTGTCCCCACGAAAACCACCTCAGCGTCGGCTTCCCTTGGATCTTGTGGCTCTGCATGAAGAGGTGGTTGCAAAATTTAGAATGGCACCTAGCCATTAAATTGCACTAAAAGAATGGACCATCAGGTTGGCGTAAAATGGTGTATACAGGTGCTCTCTTTACCACAGCGCACGTGATGGCTGAATCTTACGGCCAATGCAGATCCTAAACTGCAAGCAAAACGGCAGGGCTACGCACCTGTTTTTACGAAAACCGCCTCAGGGCCGACTTCCCTCGGATCTTGTGGCTCTGCATGTAGAGGTGGTTGCAAAATTTAGAATGGCACCTAGCCATTATTGCACTAAATTGGACCATCAAGTTCGCATAGAATGGTGTATAAAAGTGCTCTCTTCACCCCAGCGCACATGATGACTGAATCTCACAGCCAATGCAGATCCTAAACTGCAAGCGAAACGGCAGGGCTACGCACCTGTCTTTACAAAAACCACCTCAGCGTCGACTTCCCTCGGATCTTGTGGCTCTGCATGTAGAGGTGGTTGCAAAACTAAGAATGGTACCTGTTACAAGTGTAAACTGAACTCGCCTCCAACTGGCCAACGTTCGACGGCGGCAAGAAGCGGAAGCATGACACGCGTAGTTCAGTTCCAACACAACACTAACTGAGGGAGCCGTGAGGCCCCGTTTAACATAAAGCGCCGCGCTTCCAGACATCAGGCCACTAGGGGACGTTGTGGCGCTACATGCTAGCCAGAAATATAACAGTCCTCCCCTCTAAGGTACAAAGACAACCAACAGCTAAGGGGAGTGCCGCTGCACGGCCCTCCTAGTCCTTGTGCTACGGCGCAGCTGGGGTGGACTGAGGCTTGTAGGATGAGGAGTTACCCCAGTGCTTGCAACACTGTCGCTTGCACCCACGCTTGTTTCACCTGGCTCGAACAGAGCGCCGGGAGCACCAGCAGATTCACTCGTATTTAATCCTTGCGGTTCCAACTGAACTGCAGCACCAACAGGTTGACACGTCTCTGCCACGGCCGTAGCTGCTGTAGGGGCGTCGGTCGGTCTGGAACGCAGGTGATCACCGTGCCGATGCCACAGTGTGCCATCTTCAAGGCAGACTTGCGCTGAAGATTGACTTGTGGCGCCGACAACTCGGGCAGGCACCCAGGGCATACCTTGGCAAAAGTTCCTGGCGAACACGTTTTCCTCAGGGTTGAGCGGCGGTCCCTGTCGGCAGCCTTTATCAGTATACAGTTTCTGTTTTAGCTGCTTGAGCAGCACTGATGATTGGAGGCTGTGACGCAGGACATCCAACGGCGTCTTGAACATCCTTCCCGTCAACAACTCGCATGGTGCTCTGCCCGTGACCTCGTGCAGAGTAGTCCTATAATGAAACAGGAATCTGGAAATCCGAGTCTGAAAATCCCCAGAGCCACTTTTCTTGAGTTTGTTCTTAACGGTTTGTACAACACGCTCCGCTGCCCCATTTGGCGCTGGATGATATGGCGGCACGAGCATGCGGCGTATCCCGTTGCATGTTGGAAAGTCCAAGTACTGCTCACTTGCAAATGCAGGCCCGTTGTCTGACACAATCAGATCTGGTAGACCGTGCTGAGCGGAGGCCATTCGCAGGGCTGTTATGGTAGCCTCTGCAGAAGTTGACGAGACAGGAAACACTTCGAGCCATTTTGAAAAAGCATCCATAATGACCAAAAAGGTATGCCCCATAAATGGCCCTCCAAAATCAATGTGAAGCCTGGACCAAGGCTTCTGGGGGACAGCCATGGCGTCTGTTGAACTGGATGTGGGGCCTCCTGATGAGCTTGGCAAATCGAGCAGCTCTTCACATGGTGGGTTATGTCGTTATCGATACCCGGCCACCAGACGTGACTTCTGGCGATCATTTTGCTCTTCTCGATGCCTGGGTGGCTGGAATGAAGCAGATCCAGGACTCGAGCCTGCAGCACTTTTGGGATCCCCACGCGTGCTCCCCAGAGCAAACACCCTCCTGCAGGCTAAGCTCTGAACTCCTTGCACAAAGAGGGCTTGTTTCTGATACTAGTGCAAGGTTCCCTCCTCTGAGAACAGCGAGAACGACATGTCCCAGAACAGGGTCATTCTTTGTGGCTTGAGCCACAACAGAGGGTGAAAGAAGCTTCGGATATGCGTGCTGTAGCATGAAGATGTCGGCCGGCACGTTCTCTTCAACGTTGCTCCCAGGTAATGGAAGTCTACTGAGTGCGTCAGCATGACCTAAATTCCTTCCTGGTTTGTAGGTCAGCTGGTACTTGTATGCCAAAAGCTTGAGAGCCCATCTGACAAGCCGAGGTGACGCGTGGACAGGAACTGGCTTGTCAGCACTCGGCAATCCCAGCAGCGGCTTGTGGTCTGTGAAAGCTTGAAAAGGCGTCCACCACAAGCACTGGTGGAACCGTTCCAACCTGTAGACCAAGCCTAATGCCTCTTTGTCAAGTTGACTCTAGTTTTGTTCTGCTCGGGACAAACTCCTTGATGCAAAAGCAGTGGGTCGCTCTTGGCCATCGGCTTCACGGTGCGCCAGAACTGCATTGATCCCGTATGGTGATGCATCACAAGTTAGACACACCGGCTTTTCTGGATTGAAATGAGCTAAAACCGGAGCGGACGTCATCAAGTGCTTGCTCGTGGTAAAAGCCTCTTCTTGGTCTTTTCCCCACTCCCACTTCTTCCCGTCAGTAAGAAGCAAGCGCAGTGGCCGCAGGCGTTCAGACAGGCTAGGAAGGAAACGTCTGTAGAAATTAATCAATCCTAGGAAGCTCTGAAGCTGCTTGACGTTGCGAGGAGCAGGAGCATGAAGTATGGCCGTGACTTTGCCCAGGCCTGGAGACAACCCTTCCTGGTTGATAATGTGCCCAAGGTATTCAACCTGCCGCACAAAAAAATGACACTTGTCGAATTTCAACTTCAGTCCGACATCAAAAAGGCGCTTGAGAACGGAACGGAGGTTGTGCAGATGATCCGAGTCAGTCGTGGCGGTGACCAGGATGTCATCAAAATACAGAGCGACGTGCGGCAGCCCTCGGAACAAGTTTTCCATCTCCCGTTGGAAGATAGCTGGAGCGGACGACACTCCGAAAGGAAGGCGGGTGTACTGGAACAACCCCATATGTGTGGAAATGGTGACATACTTTCTCGAGCCCTGCTTAAGAATCACTTGCTGGTAAGCATCCCTCAGATCCAACTTGGTGAACTTCTTACCCCCAGACAGCATGGCCCACAGATCTTCGATTCTGGGAATCGGGTACTTTTCTAGGGTGGCCTCCGGATTCACGGTTACCTTGAAATTGCCACAAATCCTCACACGTCCATCCTTCTTGGCAACAGGAACAATGGGTGCAGCCGAGGCTGACGTCTTGACTGGTACAATAATGCCCTCCCTTTCTAGACGTTGAAGCTCCTGTGCAACTCCATCTTTGAGTGCGAAAGGTAGTGGACGCGGCTTAAAAAACTTCGGTGGAGCATTTTCTGGAACATGAATACTGGCTTTGAGCCCCTTGAAAGTACCCAGCCGTTCCTCGAACACAGCAGAAAACTCTTGAACAAGACTTCTGATGTCAGAGAGAGAATTAACAGTTACCGCCACATCAGAGAAGTTCAGGCCCAGCTCCCGAATCCAGTTGCGTCCAAGTAGTGTAGGCGACTCATCTCCGGTGACTAACAATAGCAGCACGGCCTTCTTGTCGTGGAACTGCACGCTGACGTCCACCCTGCCTTGAACTTGGGTCAGTTCACCGGAATAGCTTCGCAGCAGCACGCCGGATGGCATGACTCGTATCGCAGGCACTAGCGCCTGCAGACGTTTCTTGGCGATGACAGAGACACTTGCGCCCGTGTCCACCTCCATGCAGAGTGCCTTGCCACACACGTAGACGGTAACTGTGAATGGCGCGACGCTGTCCACTTGCCACATGTCGAAAACCTCGGACGATGCGCTGTCGTCCTCAGCGTTGTCATGAACGACATTCACTGGATGGGTCTCCGTTGCTGGGGAAGGGCACGCTTGCCCCCCAGAAAGCGTTGCCTGGTAGAACTTTTCCTGAGTGACTGGGCGTCCCTCTGCTTCGAATTGCACACTTTCGATAGATGTCCTCGCTTTCGACAGTAGTTGCACGTAGTCGTAACGTGCTTGCAGCCGGACGCGACGTGTCCGTCTCCGCAGCGGTAGCAGGTGACGCCCCCCGTAGGTGCCGCGACTCGATGCGTTGCGAACGCGGCGCTGCCGGAGCTGGTCTGGCAAATCTCCCCGGCGTCCCTCTTCGCCGCTTCCATGGCCATAGCGGTCTGCACAGCGTCCTCGAACATCAAGTCTGGCCGTTCCAAAAGTCTGGTCTGGATTGCAGTGCCGTTAATCCCGCAGACGACACGGTCCCTCAGCATGTTTTCAAGCTCAGCTCGGAAACGGCAGTGCTCGGACAAGTTTTTCAACGCTGCGACGTAGTTGCTCACAGACACCCCGTCAGCGCGAGCGTGCGAGTTGAAACGGAAGCGCTGGACGATGGCGGAAGGCTTCGGGCAGTAATGGTTGCCGAGGACGGAAAGAACCTCATTCAGAGGCTTATCTTGAGGATTGGCAGGCTTGACCAGGTCCCGAAGAAGAGAATACGTCTTCGCACCGCAGCAACTGAAGAAGATGGCTTGCCTCTTGGCCGCGACAACATCATTCGCCGAAAAGAAAGCTTCTATAGACGCTCGACGTAGGACGGCCAGTCCTCTCCTCCCCCTACAAAAGGTTAAATTCTGCCGAAGGTTGGCATGACGAGCAGAACTAGCCCGAGCAGAATGATTCGCGAACTTATCATTCGCGAGGAACCGTGACGAACTTTGTACGAAGAACAAAACTTTTCCCTCGTCGCCACTGTTACAAGTGTAAACCGAACTCGCCTCCTACCGGCCAACGTTTGTCGGCGGCAAGAAGCGGAAGCATGACACACGTAATTCGGTTCCAACACAACACTAACTGAGGGAGCCGTGTGGCCCCCTGTTTAATATAGAGCGCCACACTTCCAGACATCAGGTCACCAGGGGACGTTGTGGCGCTACATGCTAGCCAGGAATATAACAGTACCTAGTCATAAAATTGCACTAAAAGAATGGACCATCAGGTTGGCGTAAAATGGTGTATACAGGTGCTCTCTTTACCACAGCGCACGTGATGGCTGAATCTCACGGCCAAATGAAGATCCTAAACTGCAAGCGAAACGGCAAGGCTACGCACCTGTCTTTACAAAAACCACCTCAGCGTCGACTTCCCTCGGATCTTGTGGCTCTGCATGTAGAGGTGGTTGCAAAATTTAGAATGGCATCTAACCATCGAATTGCACTAAAAGAACGGACCATCAGGTAGGCGTAAAATGGTGTATACACGTGCTCTCTTTACCACAGCGCACGTGATGGCTGAATCTCACGGCCAATGCAGATCCCAAACTGCAAGCGAAACTGCAGGGCTACGCACCTGTCTTTACAAAAACCACCTCAGGGCCGACTTCCCTTGGATCTTGTGGCTCTGCATGTAGAGGTGGTTGCAAAATTTAGGATGGCACCTAGCCATAAAATTGCACTAAAAGAATGGGCCATCAAGTTGGCGTAAAATGGTGTATACAGGTGCTCTCGTTACCACAGTGCACGTGATGGGTGAATCTCACGGCCAAAAGAGATCTAAACTGCGAGAGAAATAGCGGAGCTACGCACCTGTCCCCGTAAAAACTGCCTCAGCATTGACTTCCGTTGGATCTTGTGGCTCTGCATGAAGAAGCGGTTGCGAAATTTAGAATGGCACCTAGCCATAAAATTGCACTAAAACAACGGACCAATCTTAACGGCAACTGCTGCGATGTCACGTTGCCGATTCTCTTTCGAAACCTGTGGCTCTGCAACGAATACAATGGCATTAAACGTGTACCCGGCGATCAAATTTCAAAATGCGAGTTTAATGCAGCACAGACCTGTATCCAAGTGGATTGCAACCCTTGTCACATCCATGTGATCTGGGGTTCAGGAAGTGGAAAAAAAGAAACAATCAAGACATAATTACATGATTTGTTCTTAGCTAATAGAGCATTTTTGTTTTGTGTGTTTATACAGAAGGGAAGCTAGCCTGCCCCAACGGCCGTCCAGTGCCTCCGCCGTAGATCAGAAGTTTAGCCAGTGCAGTACGACTGCCCTAAATCTGGGGTGCAGTACGGCCAGCCTAGTCTTTAACATGCCTCCCGCAGTAGCAATGCACGGCATGAATGTACACCATGCTCATCGCATGACTACTCCGCCAGTATCTCTCCTCTAAAAAGACAACTTGGACTATCACACCTTCAAACCCAGAGGAAGCTATCTGGCCCATGACCACTTCATAAAATTTAGTAACATTGCCCAGGGCTAAGAAGTGCAGTCCTCTTGTCCCCACCTCTACCCTTATAGAATATCATCCCACATGAATAACTTTTGTCCAGTTAAACAAACTTCCGGTGAAACTAAGGCATTCAACGATTAATTCCTTCCCCATGCAATTGCTAAATGGAACCAGCTGCCATCCTCCAACGTTAGTGTCACCGATGCAGCAGGGTTTTATAATCTACCAGCACATTTACATTAACAACATGTATAGTAACTTCTGCTGCTTTTATTTTATATATTTTGTTACTGAACAGTTCTGTGTAACTATTGTATTGTTCAATTTAATTCCCCCTTATGTAATGCCCTCTAAGACCTTAAAGGGTGAATTAAATGAATGAATTAATGAAATGGGCAGAAGTGATGATTGAACCCAGGATCTATAGGTTCTGCAGCACAAGATTTTGCTCCATGTGCTCCAAGCTGTAGTGTGTGAACTCACTTGGCCACCAATAGCTACCAAAAAAATCATGAGCCTTTCCATTCTGTGGAGATGGATGACCAGCGAGGCTGTTTAGTGACACAGACGTGACACAGGATTATGAGCAAAGGTATGAAGACATTTACCGTATTTACTCGCATAATGAACGCACCCTCCACAATGGGGACCACTATCTGGACTTTTTTCTTTCCCTCGCATGATGAACGCATTTCCAATTTTCAGCTCAGCAAGTCTTGAATTGCGTCCAGCTAGCCCACCAAGCCAATCTTCTTTTACTGCCAAGTGGTCAGGCCAAGTCAAGCTAAGCCAAGCTGCTCTCGTAATGGCTGCAAGTGCATAGTTGTGCAAGTGATCAACCGTGAAACCGACCGGTGCGCACATTTGACGAAGCTTGGGTCGAGGAATTGCCCAGCCCTAGACATTCTTCACCTATCGGATGACACGCCGTCCTCTGTGGTCTGCTTTGGGATAGTGAAATCGGTTAAGCCTAAGAATGGTCGCATTGCTCTCTGTACTGAGTGAGCTTCGTAGGACGCTTTTCCTACAGCAAAAGGCGTGCCGAAAGCGCCCCTTCACATACTTTGGGTAAATGCGTTTATTTAACCCGTAACAAAACAGCGCAGCAAGGTGCACTCTGCGTCGTAGGTTGAGAGAGTCTGGAGACCCCTGGTAACAGCCGTCTCCGTGAACAAAACTGGATCCATGCAAGCGGGCTAATTTCCGCTAAATTTGCCGGGCAAATTTACCCGCTAAATTTATCGTGCAAAATAGAGTTTTTATTGATGCACACGAAAAATCCTTGGAACCCTAGCCATAAACAGGTTCGCTGTAAAATCACGAGCCATTCCAATCTCTGAAGGCGAGACCAGGGAAGCTGTTTGGCACACGACTTAGACGCGGCACAGAATTTGGTACGAAGATACAAACATATTTATTGTCTTGATCAGTGGTCATCAAGACGGGCCGGAGGAATCTAGACACACGCGACGGGACTGCCACCCCGGGAGAGCGGAAGGAAACTAGGCACGCAAGTGCTTGGAACGACGACAGAGAGAGGGTGGTACGAGCGTAGACAAGTATGACGCGGGTCGCACAGCGGCAAATCTTAGAGAAGCCGTTATTATCTTCCTGAGAGTTCACACATCTTGAAAATGGTGCCTATTGAAAACTAATCTATTGAACATGCATATCTAAGTGATGAGGCATATAAGATTTTGCATAGAATGAAGCAATTTTGCATCGAATTCGGGACCCAAATTTTCGCTGACGCACATGAAAATTCCACGGAATCCTAGCCATAAACAGCTTTGCTCTAGAAAATGTTGTAACGTACCTTTCGTAAGAGGCGGCATGGGGCTGTCAGGTTCCCGATCTTCCACGCAGTAATCCGGCTCTGCGAGTGTAAAAGAGAGTGAGATATTTCTAATAATGCCAACGCTTTGCAAGGTGGAAGCCCTAAGACAGACATCGATTCAGACAGATCCGACTTCACAGCAACATAATCTTGGAGTTCTGCAAACATAGGGACGCCATATTAGCATTTTAGTTAGCTTATGCTAAAACGTAATAAAACAAATTCATCATCATCATTTATTGTGCATGAAGTGCCCAAAAGAGCATTACACGAAGGATCAGAAAGCAAGTACTGGCACTTTTCTTGTGTTTCAAAGTGTGATTCTAATTACCATGCCTATTAAAGTCCTGAAGCACTTGTAGTTAGGCTAGTTGGTGAACGTTGGAAACCATGGTGTAAGGCACAAAAACAAGGGACACAAGAGAGAAATCAGACATATAGACACCACTCACAACTACATTTGAAAAGTGCAGAAAGAAAGGAATACATACCGTATTTGCATGAATATAACGCGACCACGAATATAACGCAAGGGCAGGTTTTGATGCCCTCAAAAAGAAAAAAAAAATATTATTACTATTATAACGCGAACAGAGGCCGCGTCAATTTCTCGCACTCGGGGGCATAGCAGAAGTGAAAAGTCAATGGAAATAGAAGAAATATCAGTTCATGTTTTGACTGCACTCATCCTCACTGCTCAGGTCCTTCTGTTTACAATCCACTTGGCGACTACACAGATAAGCACGGCAGATAAGCACGGCACCGCTTGTCTGGTAGTTCCTTTTTCTTCCGTGCGAGCTCCTCAGCAGCCCACAATCCAAACAAGGCAGGAAGCAGAAGCACTAACACACAAACACCAGATCACTCTGGAGCAGAAACTAAACAATGCGCAGGCAGAAAAAAGACTGCTGAATCCGATACACGATCACAATAGATGTTCTGGTCCCTCTGCATAAACAAATGCCTCCTATTGCACGATTGTGTAAACGTGGTTGTTGGTCTTGGCTTGGCTTGGCTTGTGTTGGGTTGACTTGGCCCGGCTTGGCATGGCTCGAATATGCCAGTGCCCGCATTCCCGCATGGCGCGCACGCGCGCTGAGTTTCTGCGGTGTTTGCGGGTTGTACAAACACAAAAAGAGATAAAAATGCTTTTTTGTGTTTTCTATTCACCCCTTCACGTGGCCCAATAGCTAATAAATTCCCTTCCACACACCCTCTTCTTTTCCCACCCGATCTCCTGCATTGAGCGGGAAGGATGGCTTTCTCCTCTGGCTTTCTCCAGACTCACGCGCCTCGTGGCTGAACTCGATTCCGAATATAACGCGAGGTGCATTTTGGAGCACGTAATTTCGAGAAAAAAAACTCGCGTTATATTTGTGAAAATACGGTATGTCGTCATCTAAAAATGTTACACAGAATGGGAGGTACGCACGACCGAATGCATATGCCTCTTTTTTGTAAAAACAGCTGGTTGTCAAACGATATAAAGGTGCTGAAGACAGGGAGGTAAAGGTGGGTGAGGAGGAGTGGCAAATCCCGCGCGCAGACATCCTGGGTCCCGAGTGAAAGATTGCGAAAGAGAGCGACAGAACACGAGAGAAAGAAACCAATGTGGCCAGCTGAAGGACGACAGTCGCAATGGTAATCGCAAAGACTGAAAACTCTCAGCAATATAAACAGTGATAATTTAATGTTGAAAACTAAATTCTGAGCTATTCTAAGGTTTATAAAAAGCAGCTTACTCATTACGCTGCATTAACTTCCCTTCTGTCGAAATATCGAAAATCTGTTAGTTGTGCGGTTTCGTATTTCCGGGCGCGGCCCCATGGAGAATAGAAGGGTAGGAGAGGGCATGACGTCGCCCGCGTAGCCTCTACAAGCCATGCTCCCCTGACGCCTCGCCTCTTTCTCATTTTCCTCCTTACTCTCCTCACTTACCTTGCCAACGTGACCACATCACGTGACCGTAGCTAGTTTTCGTCTTACTATAGGCTACTAGAATACACCACAGTCTAGCCTTCGATCTGATAAAACCTACCGGACGGAGCGCGCGCAAGCCTGCAAGGAATCCAGGGTGTAAGATAGACAGGTGGGGAAACGGCCCATAGAAGCCTACTGCAGCGCCATGACCGGATTGTGTACTCGTCTGCTTGCGGGTACCCCCGACTTGCGACAGATGGCGCTGCGGCGACGGGAAAAAAATCGGAATCGGATTTGCGTGGAACTCTATGGGAGACTGCGCAAAATAAACCGAGAGCACGACAGTCTTTCATTAAAATCTACAAAAAACCATCTCTGCCAGTTTAACCGGTCGCCCACCCGGAGTGAGAGTTCGCGGTGCTCCACATAGATGGCGCCACAGAAAAAGAGAAAACCGAGGGGTACACAATCCGGTCGCTCATTTGGTTCTCGTTTCCCCACCTGTCTATCTTACACCCTGAAGGAATCCTTCTACAATCAACCATCCATCGCGCACGTGGTATGTCACGCGCACCAATCGCCAAAGAGATCTGCGGTCACGCTGGGCACAAAATCGTTTAAACTTTTTATGAATAGGCTTCACCAATATTGCAACGTGCCCCCTCCTAGTACTTCTAACCTCCTTGCGCGGCCCCCCACGCCCGGAAGATAACCGAAGCCGGTTATCTGGTTTAGTTTAGCGTTGACGGGAGGCCGTACATCTGCGTGCTAGGCAAAACGAAAGCTTCGAAAGGAACGCGAATATCTTTCCACCGGTAAGTTCGTGGATTGTCGAAGTTCATGGCACTGCTCTGATGATATATTTGGAAATCGAAGGCAGTTGGAAACCATGTGGGACGCCGAGGGTCTGCCTGCATGCTCCGCCGCATGCGGCAGCCAGAATGCATGGGAAAATGGCGGACCCTTTCCTCTAGAGTTAGTATGTACGATCTCTATGGCTGAAGAGCACCTTTATATTGTTTGTTATAACCTTTAGCAATAGATTAAACACTTGAAAAAACTTTCAGTGATTTTAACATTTTTAAAGTGTTTAGATATGTAGATGATTTTTTTATTCTTTTTAATGAACGTTTGGCCTTGACATACTTTAATGACATGTCAGTTTTGGAGGCCGTTAGAGTCCATGGGAAAGGCTTTCACCCATGAACTGCCTAAGCAGGGCAGTTTACAGTTTTTAGATTTAAGCTTTTAGAAGGACACACGTGTTGGATGTACGCTCTGCGGTCCCAAAAGAAACTCTTGCCGTATGATTCTGCACACTCTAAGGTGATAAAAAGAGGTGTTGCTATGTTATGCTTAGAGTCGGCTCTTAGAAGGTCGCGCTCGCACCAGATGCAGACAAGCTTTAAGAACCAGGTGACCAGACTATTGCCAGCGGGCTACCCTGAAAAGGTTGTGACAAATGTGGTAGAAAACATTCTTCAAAAAGTAAAAGGCCATACCACGACGGCAAGGGCAAAAACGGCGCGGTGCAAAATGAGACTTGAGGTGGTACCGTATGTGCACAGAATGTTGCATAACCTCAAGATGGTGAGGAACCACTTCGGAGTACCGCTCGTGTTCTCAGCACCGAGCAAACCCGGCCAACTCTGCTCTCGTATTGGCGGTGGCAGCGGTAAAAGGCGAGGCTGCACTACAAAACATGCCAGGCCATATGTTGATTGTTTCACGGGAGTAGTTTATGAAATCCCCCTTACGTGTGGTAGGACCTACGTAGGACAGACGGGCATATGTGCAAACGACCGACTCAGGGAGCACGCGCAAAATTTAAAGAGGAATGATGAGGCCTGTTTGCCTGAACACTGCAGAAAATGTGGATGTGAGCCACGTCTTTCTGAGACAGCGATTCTGGGCAAAGGCAAGTGCCAAAAAGCGCGCGAGTTATTAAAAGCATATTTTATCAGAAAAAGGGGTACACAATGCGTAGGTGACACATCTATTGCACCCTATAATGCCAAGATTAGATTATTTTACAAGTTTTTGTAAGTGGGAGTTGAAGCATAGGTATATCACACGACGAAGCACGTTCGTGGATGTGACGAAGATGACGACACATGTATTCCTTCCTTTCTGCACTCTTGAAATATAGTTGTGAGCGGTGCCTGTATGTCTGATTTCTCTCTTGTGTCCGTTGTTTTTTGCCCCTTACATTATGATTTCCTATTAAAGTCCATATGTCAAATAAATAAATATAAAAGCAAACAAGTGAGATGATCAAAGGTGGCTGAACCTGAGATGCTTAAACATGTTTGGCTTACCAGGCGAAAATTTCCAACTGGGACCAGTTGGCACCTTAACTGGTTTCAACTGGGATTAACTGGTACCAACTGGGAATCAACTGGGACCAATTGGAGTCCAACTGGGGCCAGCTGAGGGGTCAACTGGTTTGAACCATTCCCAGTTGGGAGTCAACTGGTTTGACTCCCAGTTGGGAATGGAGTGCACTGGAACCAGTTAGGAAAGTAACTGGTTGGAGCGATTCCCAGTCGGACTTCAAATGCCTTTCCCGTTCCCAGTTCACACTGGGCAACAATTTGGACAAGTTCGGGGTGTATTGATCTTTGCTAATGAACTAAAAACACTTAAATTTTTAGATTTATACAAATAGAGAAATTTTTAATTACTGGGTATGCTTATATATTTATAAAAATTTTAATTAACTAAATATTTTCTTAATTGGAAAATATAATTAGTGACGAAATGTGCTCAACTAAATGAACATTTAGTGCATTGTATAAATATATTAAAACATTTATTTAAATACCTACAGTATTTTTCTTTCTTTTAATAAATAAATAAATTTATCTTTTGGCCAATCAGAGCTAGCTGGCCGCTGTGGCACGCGGCTGCGGATTAGTGGTACGGGCTGTCAACAGATGGCGCTGCCTATGCTGACGCCAGAGTCGGACGGACGCGGTGGACGCGGTAGGGTAGGGTCGCCATCGCCCAAGTTGGCGTCGTCATGAAAATGTCAAAACTACAGCTGCGCTTCTTTGGACCTAACTGTACTCACACCATGGTGGCGGCGGTGAACTTTGAGGACGGAAAGATGCAGTTCAGCGATCGGAGGGCATCCAGGAAAGACCGGACGGAAGAAAACGCCGCGGAGAGCACAATGGCGAAAATGGCGGGAGGTCTACCTCGAAAATGTTCGACTGTTGTGATAGATTGCAAGGTGGGAGCGCTACCGCATGCTATCAGGACTTCACCTGCTCAACGCAGGATCACGGGTGAGCACCTTTCTTCACGCGATGGGGAGAGAAGCTGAGGACGTACGTCTTCACTAACAGACGCCAGCGGCCGATCTTCCTTCACCTCATGAATACCACCTCTGAAAAAGCGATTGAACCGTCGCAAGCAAGTGGCTAACCCCGATGCATGTATGTCACCGAACCTATTGTTTAGTTTAATTCTCCAAGTTTTTGACAATAAAGTCTTGTCAACCTTCCATTTTGTGCCATGTTTCATTGTTGCTGGAGTTGGTACCAGCGGTAACTGGGACCAACTCCCAACTGGGACCAGTTGTAACTGGGACCAATTCCAGCTGGGACCAACTCGAACTGGGACCAGTTGGACAACTCCAACTGGGACCAGTGGCAACTGGGAATTGTTCCATAAACCAGTTGCAACTGGGACCAATTGGTCCCAGTTGAAAATTTTCGCCTGGGTTATGCCAAGGTGTAAGGCAGCCACGATAGGGGTGCCATGAACGTGTATTACTAACAAAAGATATCAATTCACCTGACATCACAGATACAAGATGGCCGCCAGGCTCCATGTCCCGCTCAGTATAATCTTGGGGTCCTGCAATTGGAGCAACAACATAATGACATTTTAGCTTAAGCTAAAATGCAATAAAAACAATCCTGCATGAGATGCCATGGACATGTTTCACTGACAAGAGCAGAGCACAGTGGAGACAAAGGGCATTTTGGTTATGCTAAGATGTACAAAATAAATGCTAGAAAACCTAAAAGTTGCGTCACTAGCAAATGAATCTGACGCTGATGACAGCATACAGATCATGCCAGTTTCACCGTCATGCCTTGGGTTAGTAAAGCTAGCGGCGTTCTGTGCATAGCCTATCACTGTGTTTTGTCTCGACCTGTACATAACAGTGGCGCGTACAACTCTTTATCACGGTAGCAAATGTCGATTTCTCTCTTGGACATCGGTTCCACGATGCAATGTCAGAGTTTCACGACACTGTGGGGTGGCAAACAGGTTCGGTCCATCCTCACTGACGTCTGCTCATCGTCTCCATCGTGTGGATGCGCATGGGAGATGGACGAACCGCGGACATGTCGTCACTTGATCAATCCATCAGCGAATCAGTCCGTCGTATGAATCAACCACTAGGCAGGAAATACAAGCCGCGCTCGTTCAGCACGACGGCTTTCGTGCTTTACGTGGGGCTGATGGAGGGATGAGGCAGAGGCGGGTGGTGGTGGTGCAGAGAACAGCCGCAGCAGTGCCATAGCAACGGCGATTGCGGCTACGCAGCAGAAATGCCAACGAGCAGAGCAGCTCCATCCACGCTCCGTCTGCTAAATTGTTTGCCCCCGAGATCGGTCACTGAGCGGCTCCACCACCGAGGCCGAATGCTCCGAGTTCCATTTCTGTGACCGCTGGCTATTTGCCAGGAGAAGGGGCTATAAGTCTCGTCGCAACCACCAAGGATTCGGCGAGCTAGACTACCATCTGAATGCCAACGACCGAGGCGATGTGTGCGGGATGAACGAACTGTCAATGAAACGTTGAAGTGTTAATGAAACAATTTGTTGACGAAACATCGTTCAATGAACTGATTGCCGCTGCATACAACCTCCAACGATACCGTGCGCAACGATTTGCTACACGCCACTGATTTCGGGTCACTCACCTCGAGGTGTGCTTCTACCCGAACAAGCTTGCAACCGGGGAGTATTGTCCAGTGGTGGGACAGGTGCAACCTGGGAAAGTATGGTTCTTGCGGCAGGTCTTCTTTTCTTCTGGCCTGTCGGAAACAGATGGAGCAAACAGAAATCAAGAGCGAGGAAGATTGAGCACATGTATAGAATTCAGCACTCTGATCGCTGGTTTTTCGCACTTTGCTCGCTCGGCTTTCACACTCAATTGGAGAAGCGAGCGTAAAGGTCCGTTCACACTCTTGCGACCAAGTACGACCGAGAGAGACCAGACCGGTTTTTAAGCCTCTTGCGATGTCTTAGGACCAGCTCCGCTGTAGCGCGTCTGGTCCTAAAAGGTCGCAAGAAGCTTAAAAACCGGTCTGGTCTCTCTCGGTCGTACTCAGTTGCAAGAGTGTGAACGGGCCTTAATAGGGACGTTTGATGTGGTGTGCTAAGAAATGGGGTTCGTCTGCCAACATGCGCGAGCAATGGGATTTTCAGCAAACGCAAATGAAGAATGGGGGTTTGTCTGCTTTGAAGTGTCATTGGCAGAGTGAAACAAAAGAAAGCCCTCATAGGTCGTCTGCTAAATGAACCAATAAAACATGCACCGTCTGTAATAAGTTGTCTTGCAGATGATGTCATCCAACACAAGCTCGAGTTGCGAATGTCTGCTTTGCAGCGATACTGATCAACAAACCGTGAAGTTGATGCAAGCAGTGATGCGATTGGCCCGAGCCATTTTGGAGCACCTAGTGGAGCAGCAAAAGTGGCTTTTGGAGCAGATATCCTTAGAAAAATAAAAATATTTGTTTTAAGTGCTGTACAAACAAAGGACACTTTGTGTTCTGTTCTGATGTGACATGTTGTGACTGAACTCGCTGCTTGTGTTTTTACTGCTGAGACATCCCACAAGTGTACAGTGCTGTAGGCATTGCCGAGCAATTCCAAAAAACCGTCTGCCACCGTTTTACTCCTAGGCGTAGACTATGGCAGTCTTGGGCAGTAACTAGTTCCTAGTAACGCGTTACCGGTAACTAGAGTTACTTTTTCCACTAACTTTTACCTGTAACGCGTTACTCTTTAATACTGGTAACTTGTAACTGTAGCACTGTTACTTTCTTATTGGGTAACTATAACTGTTTAGGCCGTTACAGTTACTTTCTTTTTTTTTTTTTACTATATAAATTAGAACCCACTTCCGCGGACATAGAAATTGCCATCTTTAAATATTTTTCTCCAAAACTCTTCGCTGAGAAAAAAGAAAAGAAGAAAAAAAAAAAAAGAAGCGTGGTTACGCAATAAACAAACAAAAATTCCCTGGTTTAGCCTACGACCCAGAATGGACGACGGACGAGTCAGCACGAAACCGGGAGATAAAGGAAGGGGCGCCCGCGGCGGTGGGGGCAGCGAACAATGTCTGTTTCACCGACTTTGGCTTACTCTTCTCTCGCGGGAATATCTGCGGGTGTCGGTGGTCGTGCAATACCTCCCAGTGTTCGGTCTGGGTTGTGTCTGGGATATGTCCGTGCTGTCGCTTTTACACCCAGCCGTTCACCATTTCCTCATCCCTATTAGTTTTCAAGGAAGCTTTCCCCATAAGTGCAGATAGCCGACGCTTGTTCAACTTTTTCTCTTTGGAGCCTCTCGAGTAAACGTGACATCCACAATTGGTGTTTCGGATGCACATCAAAATGCTGAAATGGCGAATGACGCAAAAAAGAAACACCCTTCGGGTTTGAATTTTTTTTTAATTTTCTCAGCTTACTTTTCTTCTCACCATACTGTAACAAATAAAATAGTATTGTTTTAGTTTGTGATTTCTTGTGTCCAATTTTTGTACTGTAACATGAAAGCAACGGTGTTACTGTTTTTTCAGTAACTGTAACTGTAACACGTTACTTTTTGAAACCGGTAACTGTAACTGTAACAAAGTTACTTTTTCCTCTAGGTAACTGTAACAGTGTTACTTTTTACTGGTAACGTGCCCATGACTGGACTACGGGAGGGCATCGGGGCTTGTGCCCCCCCCCCCCTTTCTTCCTGGGCCCGGGCCATGATCCTTACCGAGACGCTGTTTACACGCCATGTAACAAGCTTCTAGTAGTGGCATGTAAACAAAATAACGCCCACGTTGCCTTTATTGACAGTATTGACCACTTATAACGTAACCGCTTATAGTGTAGGACCGGGTATAACGCACTTTTTTAAACCACCGGTTCACCTCCCATAGAACTCCCTGTAATTACATACCACTTAAAATGCAGGCGTGCGAAGGGAAATACCGGTTATAGTGCGGTTTCTGGAACAGTCCGCCGACCACGCCGACAACGCAGCGAGCACGCTTCCCTGTGCGACACTAGATAACGGCGCTAGCCGCAAGCGGCACTCGCGGGGCAAGACGCGGGGCAAGGGGATTGCTCGAAGAAGCGGGGAGAAGCGAAGAGAGAGGCTTCAGTTGCCATAGCGACGGAAGGACGCACGCACGTGTCGTTCACGCCTGTGCGTCCCTCCGCTGCGTTGGAAAACAACCGCAACGACAGACCGACTGCAGGTCGAGGAGAAGTGTTCGCGCGCGTTGCATGCCTGTCGCGGGCCGGCTGCTTCTATCCGCAAACATGGCGTCGGTTGTAATCGCCGACGTAGACGGCATGGTGGAAGCTCATCGTTCCGCGTAAAAGCGCTATCCTTGACTGTGAATTTTCGTTGTGCGAGCGAATAACCCAGCATGACTAGAAGGAAAGATCCACCTATTCGTGCGGCGATGTCGTGGCGGCACTCTCAAGACGGCAGAAACGCCCGTGTCGTCGTGTTTGTTTACTTCGACTACAGTGGTGCTTTCTAAGCATGTGTGTTTTCGAACATCGCCCGGATTTCTTATTTGGAGCATTTCATGCCTGTGCTCAAGGTGAAGGTATTACTGGTGCGTACCGTATAAAGGATGCAAATTTTCACGCGTTTTCATCACCGTAGAAAAGTCATTAGGGTTAGCGATCCTGAACGCTCGCAACGTCCGTCCGCAACCCTCGACGCCGTTAAAAGGCTGGCCAGGCGAAAGTCGCTCATTTCTTTAAAAATGTGTGACACAGTTGAGAGAGAAGTGTAGTACTCTGGTGAAATAAAGACTTTCCTCAAACTAAGCTTTATTTTTCATCTAACATAAAATAAATTCTTTTACAAAGGTAAGTTGTCTCATGGCGTGTATTTTGGCCTGAAAAATTGATGTTTTGATTATAGCGTGGTACCGCTTATGGTGTGGATTTTCGAGACTCCCGCGACATACGTTATATGCGGTCTACACCGTACATGGGAAATGGAATACCAGTGTGCTTTCGTTAACTTCAATCTCCAGTTCTGGCGAAAAAGTAACGCATAACACCCCCCCCCCCCGGGAAAATGGAAAGTCTACGCCGCTGGTTTAACTGGTTCCCGACGTGCCAGATTTTCGTCAAAAGTAAGCAAACGTAGAACAATGAATTGAAAGCGTCCTGGCGGGTGCCTCTGTCCTGCAATCATGTTCACATGCACGCGAGGGAAACTTCAGCAGGCTTGCAGTTGCGTGTGCTTCGTCGTGCGAGCGGAAACAACGGCTGTTCGATCGAAACTGAAACCATGCCACTCCGCTCCGTCGCCAACTAATTCCCCAAAATTGTACGCAAAATGTAACTGTCGAGCATAGGACAAAAAAACAGTCCAGTGGCGCATTGCCAGGCCGGCACATGAGGTACAAGCTAAACACAGAAAAAATTAACCCGAGTGAGTCGATGCAAGACATTGCGAGCCAGGGTCAGAACATTCTTGGAGCGCTTTTGTGCAAAGACTGAACTCGAGACAAACAAGCGCTGTGTGGGTTCAGCGTGCAGACATTGCCTTCCTTGCTTTAGCTGACTTCTCTTCACCCACTTTCTTTCGCGAAGATTTTTCACGTACTGGGGTCCCTCTCGAAAGGAAGCTTACTGAGAGAAACTTCGGTAATAAATACTTCGACACAGCAGCCTTTGAGTTAAAGAGGATTTTTGTAGTAACGTACGGTTTAAACAAGAACAGGAATGTTGATGAACATGCGGCGGTACTTAGTTTTATTTTAGAAAGCGCCGTATCTGCAGCGACGTGGGGACAGGACACCCGACGTCGCACGACCACGGTGACTGGAAGGAAGGGACCAAATATAGTTTTCCCACGGCCGTTGCTTTCAGCAGCGAGTGCTTCAGCTCTCAAAGTAATTCCCGCCGCGCAAAGACACGGTTTCGTTTCACAGCATGACGGCATGGCTGGTACCAGGCACACTAGCGTCTATCGTTGAAGAAATTTTTAAAAAGATGCGAGACGAGACCTATGAGACGAAAAGAGCGCGAAACGCGAGACGGCGAGAAAACCAAGCAAGATTGGATGGACAATTGATGCAGGGTATGTACTTTGTGTCGGATGGCTGCTTGCGCCACATAACAGACCCATGCTCAATTACGGTACTCAGTTTAGTTTGAGTTTTGAAAGAGGACCAAAATAGGTTTTTTGGCGTAGAATTGGCGCAGATCACCCATATTTTGGCAAAATGTAGCAGGGTTAACCCCTTGGCACAGTTTCGCGCAATTGGCACAGCAATCACAGCAATGCGGAGGCGTGCAGGCGAGCTGATTAAGAACTGGCATTTTCTAACCTTGGACAGTGGGGAAACAAAATGACAGAACACGAATCTCCAAACAGAACTGAGGTTTAGTTCACAACACACCCTTAAATAGAGAACTAAGACGAAAAACCCGAACAGGCAAAAAAGAATAAATATATTACATGGATGACAACGTTGACGTCACGCGTGCCCAACCAGGATACACATATATCTAAAGAGCGTACACATCGGCCCCAAACCGAAGACTCAACAAGGAGATGGTAGATTGCACCAGAGCCTTTTATACTGGGAGAGTTCAGCGGGTAAGAGGGGCTTACGGCCCGCTAGGTCTAGCGGAATAAGCGGGCGCCGCTTCCGCCATGATGTGCCTCCCGGCGAGTGGGTCCCCATTGACATGCGATGTATACGCGTGTAGGTTTTGCCGTTTGCGCTTTTGTTGGCGTAAGGAGAAAGTCGAAAAATCAAGCATTTTGTTACGTT